CATCTTCAGTTATCATCTTGCATACCAAAAATTTCAGACCGGCTATATCCCATACCCCATCCCAACCTCAAGAAATGGACAGCATCGTGCCAGCCAGGATGGCTATTGTCCTTCAAGGCCGGACTGTGCCATATAACTTTGATCTCAATGGGTTACGGCCACAATCGATCATACAATTTCTGCCACCAAACGAACAAATTTGTAGTTCCTCGACAGCTTAGTGCCTCAGTACCCATAAACCCATATTTTTGCAGTCTAACCTGCATAGTACTGCTAGACATTCCATGCGGATGACGCATGGTTTATATAAGCACTGTCATGGATCAGTCTAACCCGCATAGTGTTGCAAGACACTTCCTGTGAACGATGTCAAGTTTATCATTGATCAATCAAACCCACAAACTACCTCTAGACTCATCCGCTTTACGATGACCAAATTGGTGCCTCCATTTCAAAGATATGTCTGTTCACTCATCCTCAAGTATTTGCCATTAAATTGGGTCTCTGCCTAACAACAGCTTAGAAGTAATGGGATCTAATTCGTGTCGTGCAACGAGGGTAATTGAGCTGCCATCCTCGACAGTCTCCTCCAACTACTTTGCAGGTAGCACTAGTGACATCAACTTCACCTTAATCCAAAGTAAGACGAATCCTGGCTCTTAAGTTTCCTCATCTTTATTAGATCTTATTTTGATGCATAAGAACTCAACCTTACAGGCTTGGACTTTAGACAGTCTCTGCCACTCCCATAGGAGTTCTGTTCTCCCCATTATTCTACAATACCTACCTAGTCTGCAGTTCGTTCATCAGATGATGTTTAACAAAGAAAGGATCTGCTTTTAATTACTTCCGCAATCTGACAGTTACGACATTTTGGACTGCTTATATCGTCCATTAAACGTCCCAAGCGTCTACGTACGCTTTTTCTCGCAAACACCTTACCTCGTCTTGTAGTTGGCGGTTCTAAAACTCACACACCAGTTTTCCACTCGATACCCATAATTTGATTTGAAACGCTAAGACTATGGGATTAACGGTGACTCTAGTATCTATGGTGATCCTTAAATAGACGAAATACAGATTACCTTCCCCCACCTCGAATCATGTTGATAAAATGAACTTCTTTGTAACAAAGAGACACAACATAATATGGCCATGTCTGCAACTGCAACTGCGAACCTACAACATGTGGAACGAAGTGCAAGGCTCTGTACCTTCACCTGTCCTAAAGACCATCATAGACCAAGCTAGGATCTCAACCTTAATCATCTAATTTCCTCTCTAAAGATCAGGGCGACGAAATTCACAGATAAGTAAAAAGAATGCCTTTTTCCATCCCTCTCAGTTTCAACTACAGCGGTTGGATTTGCACTAGATAAAAAAGGCAAAGGGATGGAGCTTGTTTCCCCAACATTTCTCTCCACGAGACCCTCCCTATCTCAAATGACATAACTTTTACGCACCCCTTTCACTATCACAGATCCCGGTAAGGGGAGGACTTCAATCTGTATAGATGCGAATGCAGAGTACGGTCTTCTTCCATTTCGGGATGTCACTGGAGTGTCTCCCCTTCCCTCTTTGATCATTATTTATATATTAACATTCTCAAGATGAAAAGTTGTCTCGAAAGCTTATCATTCGCGGCTGAAACCCTTCTATCCGAAAACTCCACCATGGCAACTTATCTCAAACGGCAAGGCAGAGCCAAGTCTCCAGACCTGTGTTCTTGTTTGTGATTTTCTAAAGTGGTGTCATCAACGATAAATCCATGTATAAGTTCGACATCTCCTAGGCTGGCTAATGTATTGGCGGATTAATTGTTCCGCAAGAACCAATTAATCCGAAATGAATGGTCTCTTCATCCCTCTGTTTTCAATCAACGAGTGACAGATGAGATCGACCTATGATGGACCTATTGGTGACAAAGTGAAATGCCAAAATCCAATTTTTATTTCACCAGTCCCGAATCCAAAAGGCCTTGAATAATCGATGTTCTTTCTACAGATTGGAACAACCAAAAGTATACACTTCTCCAACACCTCTGATTCTAAAGGTGACACAGGAAGCATAGGAATCGGAGTCTCTTTATCCCGATTCTTTCACTCGCCAGGAATCGAGATATTTCCATCTGCTTTAAGCATCCACGACGGCAGATGTTTCATCCTAGCCCATATTTCCTGAAACTGCACGTATGGATTTTATTAAAATACGCCATCTAGAATAAACAGTTATATCAATAAATAGTGGAGAATTCCTCAAGCGATATGACTTACTCATCCTTAAAGACTTACGAAGGCAATGGAATATATTCTCACAGTGGTGCGCATGAGAACACTTTAAACTACTGCAGGCATCCATTCCTAAATAGCCGACTTCCTCACAAGGGGAAAGACGATATATGAATACATATACTTTCGACCTGGATAAATTGGGTTATTTGTTCCTTATATCGGGGAAAACCCCATACGGATGAATTTCCTTTGCATCTCTGCTCAAGATC